TAAGTAACTTTAAATATCGAACAGAGAAACGCTCAATGCGTTTACGAAAAATGAAACCCTAAATAGAAAGCCTAAGGGGCTGAGAACCGATTTTTAGTATTTTGGCACCCTTAAGTCCTCCTTCCGTAAGTGATGATGAATCCTGAATTGACCACTGTTTGTTTTGACAAAACTGCTTTTTCCATCCAAAAATGACAGGTCATCAAAACAGCTTTTTTTTCTCATAGAAATTCTCCACTTTTATTAAATGTTGTCAAAAAGATTTTGCATGTAAGATGGGATTTTTCTTTAAAGCCAGAGGAATAAACAACAGCATTATGAATAAGATGCCCTTTTGAGGGGTTAGGAAGATACTGGTTCAAGGATTGCTTGACATGGCTCTGCTCTGGGTTTTGTTTTAATGTTGAATAGAGATTAGTTTCAAACCCTCAACATTTTGCACAAAACACAGTCCTTGTTTTCCAGACACTCCGAGATTTGAGAGCTCTGAGTAAGAGCAAAAGGTGTTGTCGAGCTTATAAGACAGGAGTGAATGTGTTTATTGATGCCCTGGGGAATAATATAATATAGCAAGGATTGGTAAAGTGAATAATCAAAAAGTAGAAATATTTGAATTCACATCCTAAATCTTGTAGATGTGAGAATGCAGGACTGGTTCGAGGGTTTGATTGTAAGTATTGTAACCTAACTAATTTTACATTAACTTTGAACTTGATTGAATCTCAGCATGAAGATGCCAACATTCAAATTGATTCATTAGCCAACCTGAATTCTCTGATTAAATTTACTAGCAGGCACAGGCAGAGTATTTATCCTGGACGATGTTCATGTCATTAACAGGAACCACCCCTGGCAACATACATATATATGTATAAATGATGCCAGCCTACAAAAAAGGATTATTATTAAACACAATTGCTGTTTAAAAAATGCTATCAGTTAAAAAAAATTATTTTTCTTAATTCTTTCTTTAGTTACCCCACTGCAAGTAGTGTTAGCAGCAGAAAGCAGCACAATGGAAGTTTTTGTTGCACAGAGCGTTGCTGCTGCTCGAGGCCGGGGCTCCAACAGAGGCACGCACGGAGCCGAGCTAACATACTGGGTGAATTATGTGTCCCATCACACCAATGACTGCAGAGCCATAAAACCACCCTAAGTGTTCTAGTTACAATCAATTACATCATGCTTTAATCACATTTTAATGATGTATTAACCAAGATTTCAACAGCAATTAGTTTAATGGGTGTTTGCTTTTTTTAAACTATTTTAACTGTGGCCATATCCAGTAAGATTAAAAAAAAAATAAAGCACTTATTGTGACCTCTTTCTTCTGTAGCTATTTAGTGCAATAGGACTGAAGAGAGATTTCTCGGTGCCTAAGCATTCAGGAATCTTAAATAAAAAATTGTTTGACTTTACATCATCATGTAGCACTGAGATTTTTCTCACCAAGAAAGATTCTGCAAAATAGAACACAAAATGCTGCAAATAGTTAATGCATCTTCCATTCCTTAGGGCAGAAAATATACCACCTGCTGATGTCTGGGTAAAGAAAGTGGAGGAAAAAAAGACAGTTAAAATTCTGAATGCCACTTTTTTTTAAAAGAATGGTGAAAAGGGAAGTTCGGCAGCTCCGCGTTGTGGCTGATGGACGTTTCCTGTGCAGAAAACTGACAAACGCCTGCGAGAACCCCGTCCCCTTGAGCGTACTCCTTAGCATATTAACTGATAAAGAAATTTCATAGCAAAACCTGCATAAAAACCCATATTGGAGATGATACCAAACTTAAAGAATGTTGTAAAATGAGAATGGAAAAATGTACAAAATGAATTCATGCCCATTTACATGCTTTCAGTCAGGCTACCAGATAACAAAGCCTCTGTCTTTGTGTTAACACTGCAGATTAGGTCAAGTTTTTACCCCTCTGAGCTCTTTTCCTGTAAATGACGGGTTTTGATGTGAAACAAGCAACATGTCAAAGCAAGTTGAAAGATGTAGGCATTTTATGCCATGTCACAATGACAGGCCGGTGAATATTTGGGCCATTAGGGGCTTATTAGTGAATAAATGACCAGATGGTTCAGTGATGCACAGAGATGGACAGAACTGGATGCTACTAATCAGCACTGTCTGTACTTGATGTCAAATCACATGACACAGTAACCCATGGATACCGAATAAAAGTTACCATTAGCAAGTCAATTTGATATCTGTGTGGTGTAAACAGACTTAGAACTGCACTTCAGAGCTGCTGGTTGTTAAGGAGAAATAATGGTAGAGTATTTAAATAAACACACGGTACTCCTAGCAAGTTATGATAAATATAAATAGAATTTCAATTCCTAAGAGCTCCTTCTTATTCTGTGGAGGCTGTGGAAGAGCATTTACATATTGGGCTATCTCCAAAGACAAAAAGAGACTGCACTGAAAATGCTGTTAAAAGAGGAACAGAAACCGCTTTCGTGGTTAGCAAACATAGCGTAATGCTTTGTGCATTTGCCACAGAAAAGCACAAACTTTGAGGGGGGCCTTGCTTTCTGGCGGATGCTGTTTGTGTTTCGCTGTATTTATTCCTCAATTTAACTGATGCTGATATACGGTCACTTGCCACTGCTGTAAATTTTTCCCGTGGGTCTTTGAGAATTTATTTCCACAAACCCTTGTTAGCAAGTCGTTTGGAGTGTTTTCTAATGTGTTGCATTTGGATGAGGAGCTGGGGGGTTCTGCCCACGACGCATCCTGCTCCGCTGGCAGAGATGCAGTGAGCGCGGAGGCGCTGAGGGGGCTCTGCTCCATCTCCAAGAGCTTGGAGCAAAAGGAACGTTTTGCCTTGGGTCCAGGGGAAGCAAGTTTAGGGTCTGTAGAGGTTTGGGGTGTGTATCCTCACCTATGACCACCCAAGAAATGCTCCTCAGTAGCACATATATAGTAAAAATATATGGCTGAGGCCTATTTTGATTTCTTTGTGCGATTCTTTTGTGGCAGCATAGTGTTACTATTGCTGATTTTTGGAGCTGTACTAATGTGACATACAGACTGTTTTGAATTTCCAAAGTAAATTTGACTCTTTCAGTGCAAGAAATTAGATGCATACATGCATTCTTCCTGTTCTCTGAGGGTAATGATATTAGTATATACCTTTTACATAGAGAATGAGTAGCACACTAGTGTTGGGTAAGTCTAGGCATATTGCATCATGAATTCCCTTTGCTCATGATTATCTTTCCTTTGTATTTTATTTGTGGGAAAGACATGCAGTTAGTTTTACTGTATGGATGGTTGTAGCACCTGAAATTTGCTCTTCCTGTTTATTATGCTACCTAATAAAAGGAGCACTATTATGTATACAATCAAAAATATGCTTGTATTTTGAGTGTAGTTCAAACTTGGGTTAGTAAGAAATAGAGTGAATTTAAATTGTGGAAAATATTTTAAAATCCATGTGTTAGCATAAATGCTTTTTTTTTTAAAAAAAACAGAAGAGGCAAAGTTATTAAACAGCATCTATTTGTTAGACTTGTGCTTTAGGACACCTAATGCCATGCTGCTTATATTACCCTAGCAGTTACTGTAATGCTTTATTAGCAAAAATGCTAGTATTTTTTAGTTGCATCTGAGCCAGTAGCCATTTGAAGATACCTAAGGAAGAGGTTGAAGGAAGGAGAAGTCCCATAAAGGGATGCTTTGGCTGGGGTTCAGTCACATGAAGTTGAGTGGGTAAAAGTAAAAGGGGTTAGAAAAGGCTGTGGATGGCAACTCAGTAATAGTTATAAGCACTGGGCAAGATGCATCTTCCAGCTTGGGAAATGTGTCCTTGAGCTCTTGTCTGGGAGGGTGTACCACACCAAGGCTCTGTCTTGTTTCTTCTACCTTGTCCGAAATATCTACCAGCAATAGTTGCTTTAGAGAAAAACTAGTCTAGATAAACCAGTGGTCTAACCCTGCACGGCAGTTCTCGTGTCTATAGGCAGTGTCAGAACTTGTTATTTTGGCCACAGCAATAATGTACAACTAAAAGAACTGATTTCCCTCTTGATGTTACTTGTATAATTAATATATATATATATATATATATATGGGACAGAACTAGCTAAGTTGCAGAAGTTGTTAAATATGCATTAGCATAAATGTGCCTGTTATTTCCAAAACCCTTTTTTTATATTAAATTCTTTATTAGCTGTATTTTTAAAATTGCTTTCTATTGATGGGGAGTTATAAATCATCTGAAAACTCTGCTCTTTAGAGCTCAACCCATATCTGTTCTTCCTGATACTAAAGCTGGAAATGAGGTCTTACCTTAAGCTCTAACAAACTTCTGAAAAAATGCCGTGTTTTACCCAAATGTGTCATCTGACCATCCTGAAATCACAGACTGGGTTTTAAAGAAATCTGAAGTTTTGAATGAAAGTGGTCTGACTATACTGATTTGAGCTAGAATCCAATTTTGCATTGGTAGTTTCAGTAGAGGCTGAATTAGAGATTATGCTCTACTTTTTTTTTTTTTTTTTTGAAAAAGTAGGAAAAAAAAGGTCAAATTCTGTATAGCGTTAAAGAAAAGAGTTTATACAACTCTTGTGGGTTGAAAAAAAATCTCAGATAACTTGATAATGGTCTCTAAAAAACTAGTCACTTAAAAATAGCCTTCTTTTTGTTTTTTGTCCTAAATCAAAGGGAATTCTGCCACTGGGACCTGAATCAAAAGTCTAAAAGCTACTATTCATGTTATTACTGAATGTTGTCTTTAACGCTATTCATTTTGCTCTGAAATGTTTTATAATGTGGATGTAATCCACATCAGTCAGATAAACAGGGATTAATATGCAACAGCTTCTTGCTACAGAAAGTTTCCTCTTCTCATGGGGATGGACCTATGGTCTTCTCTAGCTTTGTGCAGTTAATTGACTATGAATCAATGGTACACCTTAATTCTTTGCAAATGTCAAGACATTCACAGGATATTTTCCATCTAAAAATAAGGTCATTATTATGTTTTCTGTAGGCGATAATAGTGTTATCACTGTTAGACCACCTAACAGTGGCTGGCTGGACCTGGGCGAGGATGTTCTGGGCATGCAGAGGACATCAGCTGTGCTAAAGCTCAGGTACGGCCAGGTCTTTGGATGAAGAATGTTTTGATGTTACTGTATTTTTTAACTCGCCCTATTTCAAACCAGACTAAGGGAAAATACACTGACTAACATATGTTGAAAAGCCTCGCCATATATCAAAGACCTGTCGATGGGCAGTGACCCCTTCTCGTTCCCCAAGACAAGCCTATTTCGGATTTGCACTATTTAAATCAAAACATGTGATGGAAGTCCCTTTCGTAGGTGTGTTTTTTTAAAACTTTATTTTTTTCCTCAAAATGATATAATGACATTATGTCAACTCAGGCAAAAAAAATCCTGCTATTCCCTACTTGGAGAGGCTTTCTGGAATGTTTTTAGATATATTTAATGTTTGACACATAGGAAAGTCTCTCTGCAAAGCAGTGTTTTGAAAATCATAGCATATACTCAGCAAATATTTTGAATGAAAACTTTTGTGAAGTAATAATAGCTTTAAAAATTGATTACAAAGAATTGTTTTTAAGTAATTATGCTAAATTGTGAGTCTTATAGGACCTGGATGAAAATCTACCTGCCTGCTTAAGGCCATTTTCTCTTCCTACTGAAGTCAATAGGAGTTTTGACGTTGCCCTTTACAGAAATAGCTTGACCCTTTATTTAGCGCATTACATTGAATAATTGCATCATACCTGCAGAATGACAATGAAAAAAATTATGTCTTTGACCTGTTACCCCTGGTGGCTTTGTTATAAGTTTAGTGAAGATGCAGCAGCATCATATAAGCTGCTGCTTATTCACTAATTAAGTTACCTGTATATGTAGGAATGGTTCTTTTGCAATAGTTTCCAAGGAATTCAGTTCTGATATGTGTCCTTTGTTTTCAGTGACAGGATGTGTGGATGACTGGGCGTGCATGACCACAGGCTTCCCTGTCATCAGATAATGTTGGGATAATTTTCATGATTACCTGTTCTTTTGGCAAATTAATTCGAGCAAGTCTCCCATTTGTCTGTACCTTCAGGGGTTTGGGATTTGAGTCAGGCTTCTATCAGATAAACAAAGCAGCTGATCATTATGTCTCTATTGCATATTTCAACCCATTTTTATGGGAAAAAAAGGATAGATTTTAATGTTAACTTAATTCTGCCTTGATGAAGAGAATGATGGCTAGTGTTACTATTCCAGCAAACTCTTTTTGTCTAGTTCATGAAATTATTTCTGTATCTTTGTAGGCAGGTATATGCATGCGCATTTGTGTTTTTGGGAATGCCTCTACACACATTAGATAAATTGCATCTTATGAACAGATGATGCCTTCTAGTCATACATGATAAGTTTTGTTAAACCATTCTGCTTCATAAAGAAGCTTTTTAAAAATGTTTTATTAAATTTCTTTTAGTTTTTGCAGATACTGAGATGTTGAAAGCCCAGCAGACTTCTCAAGAGTCTGTTTGTCCTTTCTACCTGTTTGCTGACTGAAATCAGAGGGCCATGTCCCACCACCGTGGCACTAGTGGAGGTGTCTTGCCAGCACCAGAGGGAAGATGAAGAAATCCTGCTCCTGCTGCCTCCATTGAGCTTTACCCCATGGAGCAACATAGATGCTGTTGGCAGGTAAAAGAACTGAAATTGGGAAGGAAAGCTCCTCACTTTCAGGTGCTAATTCAATGTAGGACCAAGTGATATAGTTCTGTGCAGCCTTGCAGCAACAAAAGGCAGCCCATGAATGAGTGGAATAAAAGATGTCTTAACAAGAGGAAATTTTGTTCCTGGAGAGCATCACAGTCTTGGGAATGTGAGAAGGGGTAAGAACTAATTGACCCATGGATCCTCTGATGTTTCACAGTACATCATGTAAAGGCACTTCAGTAGAAATTGCTAGTGTTTGTTGTATTTCAGATTTTTCCAAACAAATACGTTACAATATTAATTTTCCTTCAGGCTGGGATGAAAACACACCTGAAATATTAATTTAAATTTTTTTTTACTTCAGAAAGAGTCAACTCTAAGCAAACGAACAAGTAGGCTCCTACTTCCTCTTTCCCCCTCTAGTCTTCTCTATCATGTTCTGTCTTTCTCATCCCCTCAATGCTGGAATAATTTTCTCCTCAGCTTACTGGGATTTGTCAAGAATAGCTCCTGGGAAGGAATCAGAGGAGCAAAACAAATGTGTCTTCCAGTGACGATAATGATGGAAACATAGAATATGGCTGAAAATTCATAGGACTCTTTTTCCTCTTCTGTGCCAAGATATGCTGCCTTTGTGTGAAAAGCCTATACCTTGTATAATAATGCTTATAATTCAGAGAAATCTGTAGAAAGTACACTTTTATGCTACTGCATTTTTGAAAGACAAATCAATACAAAGCTAGATATCCACACAGCTTGTTTGAAGTAACTAACTTTGTTCAGAGAGCTCTGGAAACTTCAGTTGCTGTACGAAGGCACGCTGGTCTTCATGTGCAAGCTTAATGTCTAAAGTGATCTTACTCATTTGCAGAACACAAGAAAAAAATGTTGTTGATGCCTGGATACTGTTACAAAACAGAGTTATGAACTTTTTCCATGATTCTGTTTAGTTTTCATTGCTTTACTTAAAATGGTTGGTAAAGGTAAACATATGTGTGTATATATATATATAGTTAGAAACTAAAATGTGAAAAAAATGAATGCATAGGTCTTGTAGAGCTGATGAGACCCTTCTACTGTAGTGATTCCTGTGTTATCCCACAGGCCACTGGATATGAGTGACTCCTTGCAAAAATCCTTCACCATTTGCTTTTTTTTTTCCTACAATAATTAGCTGTTATATAAAAATAATTTTAATAGTGCAATTTCATGTGCAATAAGCTTTAATTTGTGGCTGGATAGTGAAAAAGATAATAGCAGTGTTCTTGGAGATCGGGAAAAAGACCTCCTCTATTTCTCTCTCTCTCTCTCTTTTTTTTTTTTTATTTTATTCTTTCTGAGAGAAAACATGGAATCATTTTTAAATTCAGAGGGATTTTGAGACTGAGCTTTAAAATCCTAGGGTATATATCTGAAATAATCTACCAACTAAAAGCTATGGGCTGGTCAGCTGACCTACAACCCTTGCTACTCCGATACTCTCCAGTGTGTAGTAGTATATGATTCATATGCACTTATTTCTGACTGTGTTCATCTTTGAAATAATCACTCCCTTCTACATAAATGTATTCAGTGGATGTGACTACTCCATCCATCATATTAGGTAGGGTTGTGTGGCTGAATGCAGCTCTATTCCAGATAATGATGGTCTCTAATATTTTCCTGAAAATGTGGGTAATTTATTATCATAGGCTAATTATGCCCAATACGGCTGCAGCCTGACATTTATTGCATGAGGTGGGCTGGGGGAGCAGGAGACACTGCAGTGCTTTCGTGGAGGGAATTGAGCTACTTGTCCAGCGTTTCTGCCCGAGCTCCAGGAAGTGTTTCCCTCCCCACAGAGCAGGCTGGAGACCTCATTTCAGGCAGGATTGGTGCTATTTCTCCTTGGTTAGGGACCAAAAAAGCTCCTTTCCTCCCAGTCCTTGCTCCTGGACAGGGGAAGGTGCAATGACAGGCACCTTTCATCAAACCTGGATCAGCCTCAATAGTTACTGGGTTTGCAGGACAGCGATTCTCACACATGTGGCTCCAGTTTCTTGTCTAAGTGGTGACCTCCACCAATTTCTTTTCTCCACATGCAAATTAGCAGGGGAAAATAAAGGGGGGAAAATCCTGTTTTTACAGCATTTAGCTTTCCTGCAGGACAGATTCAGCTCTCCATGCCTGCCTGGGAAAACTCAGACCTAGGAACTTCTTCAAAGATGTGATCTTCCAGGCAGAAAGAAGAAATGTCACCCAGCCTTTCTAGTGTAATTTAACCTTTTCTGGATGTTTCTCCTCCATTGCTCCTCTTAGCTCAGAAATGAATAGCTGAGCAAAACATCACTGCGCTATGTTTTTTTTGTTGATCTTTCTCAGGAATTACTCCAGGATAGCTACACCTCTCTCAAATCAATGACAAATTTTGTTGGGATCAGTGGGAAGGGAGACACATTTGTGTTTTTTTGTGCATGAAATAGCTCAGTTCTGATTTTTTTTTTCTTTAATTGCAGTTTTAGAACATTTACATTTTACATTTGTGAATATTTTGCCACTCTGAATATATTGTTAGCAATTTCATCAAACCCTTTCCATAATTTTGAAATTTGCTTTTAGGTCACATCTGTGGCTGTTATTTTCCAGGGAGAACAATTCAACTATTTTAACCTTTTTTTTCCACCTTAAATTCTGGAGACTTGCTATTATCTTTGCTGCTGGGAGTAGATACTGCCTTGCAGAGGCTGCATGGTGTCATATGCTTCCTGTTCCATGGTGCCCAGCCCTGCAAAGAGGTCTAGATAGGCATCATATGAGTTATGGCTAATAAGGATTCGTCTGCAGAAAGAGCATCACCTCTTGTTTAGTATTCTATCCCCTTGTTAATACAACCTGATATCTTGTTTGCCTCTCGTACTGCTGCTGTGCACTAGGTTGATGGTTTCAATGATTTTTCTACAATAATTCCCCAAAGCAGGCAACTGTGGTAGGGTTCCTCACCTGGGAAAGGACTTTGTTGTTTCAGCAGCAGGGAATTTATGTTGGGCAGTTCTGGGGAATAAGCAAACTGTATTAGTCCAGGTGCTTTGAGAAAATATTGCTGCTAGTGAAAGCAATCACAAGATTTATAATAATTGTGAACTTTGAAATGATATTTTGTGTCAGGGAGTAAATCTAATCATTTGAGGGGTTCATTAGGACAAAAACAAAAGTTTAGCAAGCTCTTGTCATTGTTGCTGTCTTTGTGGACCTCTTCACAGGCAGCCAAGAGCATGAGCAGAGAAGGTGCAGGTTTGGGGTGTTTCATTTCAAGGTTCATATCAGGTGGAAAAGTAAGGTAGCAGAGAGCAAGCCCTGGTCAGTAAAACTGCAGAGATGTTCAATCAGGAAATTCTGGACCAGTGATTAGATCCCTGAGAGTTTTG